TCATCTTCTACAATGTCACACCTTGCACTTGATAAGGTGCCTTGCTACTTAGCCTCTTTTTTTAGCCAAATTAATCCCCTCGTCAAAGGGTCATAGTTGGAGTGTCTACATACTTAGATTTTTCTAATTATTTCTAATTTCAAACACATGTATCATTTGAACCCTTTTGGACCCAAGAAATGGAATCCAACTTGGCAAAAGGAGAATTTATTGGCTCATGGTAACATTAAAGTCACAGGTGGGACTAGAACTCAAGACAGGCACCAAGAATCTGAATCTCATCAGTTTTCTCCATCTTCCACCAATATTGATTTCATCCTCCTATTTCTTTAGATTGACTTTTTCCATGAGACAGAAACCATGGTGGCTGGCCTGTCTCAGATTCACATTTCCCCAGCCCCACCTTCCAAAGGAAAGGTGTTGCCTTCACTTAAGCTCTGTTTGGAAAATCCAAAGGAAATTTTCTAATTTCCCTTTCCTGGGTCATGTGTTCACCTATGAGCCAGGGCGGGTCGGGTATTAAGATGTACAATAAGAAAGGAGTGAGGCTGAGTAGACAGAATAATAGATGTCAACTACAGCGTTCTGCTCCATCGTCAGATCATTGAAGGGAAGTAGGGAGGGTGGAGCTTCTTTAACTGGGCTTTTCTTGTGTATCAGGCACGCTGCTAAGCATTTTTCACTTTTCATATGTAATTCCTTTTAATTGCCATGACAACTCTTTGAGGTAGGTGTTATTTTTATATTCTGGAGTTGAGATTCAGAGAGGTTTAGTGACTTATCCAAATTTGCACAGCTAGTAAGTTGCAGAACTAAACCAGAGCATTTTGATCTGAAAGCCCAACATAGTGACTACTATCCTTTATTTCCTCCCATTTGTCTGATGATGTGTGTTGGTTTCTGCTTCAGAAAAATTAATCCTTGGAGTTCTGGTCAAGATTACATGCAATCTTTCTATACTCGATCTGAATATAAAAATTCTCTTTAAATCCAGAACAAATAAGCTATGATCCATTCTTTCTTCAGTATAAGGACTCAATTTTGTTCAGTTTTGTTTTCTTTTTAACATCTCATCGAGTACCTTGGACATAGTATGTGCCAAGTAAAAATGATTTGTAAGGTATAGTGAAAGGGTTTCTAACTACAACTCAAAATGCTGATGCAGTAAGGGAGAAGATTGATAAATTTGATGATATAAAAATAAAATTTTTTTGCACATCAAGAAACAACATAAGCCAAGTCAAAGAGCAAATGGTAAGCTGGGAAAAACTATTTGCAACGTATTTCACAGATAAGGAGCTAAAATTCGTAATATGCAAAGGACTTTTGTAACTGAGTTTAGAAAGACCAATAATCCTGTGGGGAAAAAATGTGCCAAAGACATGGACCAACAATTTACAAAAAGAGATATAAAAATGGCTCTTAAACTTACGCCAAGATGCTCAGTTTCACTCATAGTAAAAGAAATGCAAATTAAAACTACCCTGAGACACCACTCTCACCCATCAGAGTGGCAACAATTCAAAATGCTGACACCACAATCTCAGTTGTGGGCACTCTGCTGGAGGGAGTGCAAAATTGTACAATCTCTATGGAGGGAAATTTGGCAATTTCTAACAGAACTGCATATGCGCTTACCCTTCGACCTACCAGTGTCACTTATAAGAATTTACCCTGAAATACACCTTTAACAATATGTGCAAATGGTTATTCATTGCAGCATTATTTGTCCAAGCATAGGAGACTGGTTGAATAAACGATGGTGCGTCCACACAAAGGAATATTAACCAGGTAAGTTTAAATCACCAATAAAGGACAGATGGACACCATACGCCTCCAGATGAGCTACTCCAAGCAGGATACATCATCACATATTTAATATTCTGGCCAAAAAAGCGTAATGTTTTCCGATTTGCATACCTATGAGTACAAGACCCTCCTTCCCCTGTGGATCCCAAGGCAGTTCCTGGAGGACTTGGGGAGGACATCTTGTTTGTATCTATGTGTGCAAGAGAACCGATTTCTTCTGCAGTCTTCCCTCATCTCAGTAAAAGGCAACTCCAAGGTACCAGTTGTGCAGATCAAAAGCTTTTACTCCTCAAGTTTCAATATCCCCTTCTTAACAAACCATAAGAAAAACATAGAATTGGAGTTACTCTTTTTGCATCAACATTTGACTCGGAGGCCCTCTGCTCAGACCTCAGGTTTGGGGGGAAGAAGAAGAAGATCTGAGGATGGGCAGCTAACACCTACCCCAAACCAAATATTGGGACTTTGAACAGAGTATAGCTGGTACCCCTTACAAATATCATAATAAGTGATTAGTTTAAGGAACTCCCTCAGTCATCTCTCAGTGATATCTGTAGAGCCAGAAGCTCACTAGGTGAGGCCGAAAACTTCAAGAAGCAGGTCGCCCAGTGCTAGAGCCCACACTTCCCCTCACTTCCCATTGGCAGCACTCAGTTACATGGCCCCACCTAACTGCAAGGGAGGCTGGGAAATGTAGTCTAGCTGTGTGCCGGAGGAGGAGGGAAATGGTTTGGTGAACAACTAGCCAGTCTCTGCCACCTTGGTGATAGATTACAAATAATGTCTTTCCTTTCACATATTAATTCACTAATATAAATCTACTGTTGTTAAATACTGTATTATTTATACTTTTCAAATTATGATGACTAGAATTCTTTTTAATTTATTAAATGGATGACCTCCATGAAACTCCTGATAGAATAGCAGACCCATCAAGGACAC